TATTTCTCATATTTAAAAATTCCAGAATTCAGACTTTGAATATATTTTGAAACGAAAAATGGAGGTTTCATTCTTGGAGAATCACACTGTATATATAGTACAAACGTCTTTAATTATATGAATATGCAATAATAGACTAAAATATGAACTTGGTTCGCTATAGGTTAGTAGGACAATGCTGAGTTCCCAGAAATTTAAATTTAAACCATAATGGTAGGTACAAACTAACAACATATGTACATTTTTTTTTTAATATAACAAATTTCAAATCACAATTAATGTATTAACATTGAATGTTGAAATGAAACATAATTTTTTTGACGTTGGTAGAAACGGCTAGTGTGTAATAGGAATACGAATAACTTAATCAGTTATTACATTACCAGGTATATAATATTATATRGTATTTTACTAGATTACTGTATCCCCTAAAAGAAAATACTTAATTGAAAAAAAAAACGATAAAAAACAAATTGATCCGAGAAATTTTCTGATTGGCGATTAATATTTTTAAAGCGATTGAAGATTTGAGACTAAAAATAGACATTTAAATTTTAGATCTATCCACTTTTTAAATGGCATAATTTTATTCCTTTGAAGTATATATATGTATTATAACACGTTGACGCCTTGACGGACAGTGAGGATTATCAATAATTATGTACCTAAAGCAATTTATAACATCATAAATTATTCATAATTATAGAAAAATAAAATTAAGATCGGCTTTATTTTAATATTTTGTCAGTGCTCAATGCCCCTTTATGCTGTATGGGGACAGTATATACAGCTTACAATTTCATACGATACAATTTAATTAAACCATTGCTATAGCAGTAGTGTCACTTTTCGGTCAGTTTTTACAGTACAGCTTTAGCAGTATTATTAAAAAGTGTCCCCTGGCATTACCACACAAAAATACTACTATAGTTTTTCCATATTATACTAATTGTAGTTATTGGACTCACCCGTTTAACACCCGTTTAAATAAATGAATACTCGTAATTCATTTGGGCAGTCATATAGTATGCGGTCTACCGGCAAATGCGTTCTACCGGCCGCTGTAAGATGCGGTCTACCTGCGGTTTTTACATATTAGACTTAAGTTTATTTTTAATAGATACATTTTAATCTTTTTCTATCATTTAGATACACTTTATCATTATACACAGATAACAATACTTCAACATTTTGTAAAAGTATTGGCTCAATAGCTCAGTATGCCATTTTTAATTGCGGGACACCATATTTTATACACCCAATATATTGGCAAAAGTAATAATAATTAGTAGTGACGAATCTACCACAATTTTTTTAATTAGCAAAAATATTGTGGCAAATAATAAAAATGCCGAATGTATTAAGAGTGGAAGCGCTATGAATTTATACCTACGCAAGGTGAGAGCCGAGAGGTAAGGAAAGGAGAGTTTTACGTTGTAAGAGAAAGGGATGTCAAAAAAAATAAATTTTTAATGATTAATTTTTTACTAGACATTACTACTACAATAATTATACTATAATATTATGATATTTTTAATTTATTTATTCGGTAGACMGCATACTATATTCGTAAATAGCCGGTAGACCGCATACTATATGACAGCCTTCATTTGTATAATC